GCAGCCAGTTCCTTCCTGAAGGAGGATGTGAGCAGCACAACATCTTGCAGCTAAGAGAATGGCCATTTAACCTATTTCTAGTCAATGGAACTTAAAGGTTATTGAGTGAAAGCTTTTCCTTTGCTGATAAAAGGAGAAGGAACTTTTCACATAAAAGGTCCCTTTGCTGCTTTCCTCCTCCCTGTTTTTCTACTTTTGAATGTGACTGATTCATGATGTCAGGAATTATGACAGCCATCTTTCAACTTTGGATAAGCTTGAACATAAAAAGCCAGAGCTGAGGAAAGGAAAGAGGTGGTGATGATATTGCTTAGCAGCTGAATTAATGTCAACAACTACCTACCTCCAGACATAGAAAAATAAATTCCAGTTCATTGAAGCCTCTGTAGTTAGGTTTCATGTCACTTTAGCTTATACAGATACAGAATATGGGGAAAGTATGGTGGCTATTCCTTTTGTTGTTGTTGTTTCATCTTGTTTTCTGTTGAACACTTCTTCCCAGCTTGATTCTAGTTATAGACTCTGTTCCCCAGGCAACAGGAGTGAATGCCTCACCTAAACAGGACTTAGATTCTTCCTACTGAGAAATTGAAACTTAACTAGGAATACCCAAAGACAGAGGGAGATAGCCTAATCATCACTTCGAGAAAAGAGGCTCAAGATCTCCTGACTCTGGGATTTTTTCTCTAGTCTATGAGTTACTCCTCTATCCTCTCAATAAATCCCCCTTTTCATTATGTTAGCTGGAATTGATTTCTGCTGTTTTAAATCAATGGTTCTCAACTAGGGGAGGTTTTACTCTTCAATGAATACCTGGCAATGTCCAGAGATATTTTTGATTGACACAGTCTGGAGTTGGTGTTATTGGCACCTAGAATCTAGAGTATAGATACCAGGGATACTGCTACCATTCTATAATGCTCAAAACAATTCCCCACAACAGCCTGGCTGTGTAGCTCAGTGGTTGAGCATTGACCTATGAACAGGAGGTCACAGGTTCAATTCCAGGTCAGGGCATATGTCTGGGTTGCAGGCTCGATCCCCAATAGGGAGTGTGCAGGAGGTAGCTGATCAATGATTCTCTCTCATCATTGATGTTTCTATCTCTCTCCCTCTCACTTCCTCTCTGAAATCAATAAAAATATATTTAAAAAAACCCCAAAACCAAAAATAAATTCCCCACAACAAAACTTTGGCCCAAAGTGTCAATAGTGTTGCTGTCAAGGAACCCTGCTTTAAAAGAGAGAGTTATTTAACTTGTACAAGGAGGGTCTCAACAAGGAGGTTTTCAACAAAGCTGACTCGGGTCAGCTGCTAATGAGTGGAAGGAGAAACAGGGCATCTGAGGTGCAAGGAGAAGTGTGGAATGGCTTTTGAGAGCATGGAAGAGAAAGCCTGCTGAAGAAACATTGGAGGATTGTTAGGCAGCGATTAGATTCTGTCTGAAGTTGATGACCATGACTTTAGAGACATGGAACTAATGATGTTTCTTCTGCGGAGCTATAGTGGTACAGACAAGGATAAGGCATATTTTGGGTTCCCCCAGGGCTAGGTTTTTGTCAGGTGAGAGAAAGAGAAGAAAAGAAAGGCAAGGGAGTTGACTTTTGTATGCAACTTATTTTACTGATGAACCAGAGGGAAGGAATAAGAAAAAAATTGATAATAAAAAATGATGACCCTGTGGTAGATAACAGGTAATAAAAAAGTAGAAGATAGTTCCTGCCTTTAATGTATTCACAACTCAGTCTTTTCCACAGTGTTGGGATGTGGTATTACCTTCTGATCTTACACCAGTGGTTGGCAAACTCATTAGTCAACAGAGCCAAATATCAACAGTACAACGATTGAAATTTCTTTGGAGAGCCAAATTTTTTAAAGTTAAACTATATAAGTAGGTACATTGTTATTAACTTAATTAGGTTACTCCTAAGCTGGCCTTTGCTAAAAACGTCCTCAATCTGATTGAGGTGTGTTCGCTGAGGTCGACCCCTTCCAACTCTCCCATCCACACTCGTCTTGTATACTCGTTTCAGATAGACGAGTGTGGATGGGAGAGTTGGAAGGGGTCGACCTCAGTGAAAGTACCTCAAAACAATGTACCTCCCCTGCGCTGTGTATCCCGCGGCCCGCCTGCGCCGCGTTGCCCCACCAACTGACAACCCCCTACTTCTTCTAACGCCACTTCTTCAAAATAGACTCACCCAGGTCGAAAACCGACTTCTGCGCATGGGCCACGAAGTTTCAATCGCACTGTATGTGCGCGCCTGCACGTGGTATTTTGTGGAAGAGCCACACTCAAGGGGCCAAAGAGCTGTATGAGGCTCGTGAGCCGCGGTTTGCCGACCACTGTCTTACACTAATACTAGAGGCCCGGTACACAAATTCATGCACATTGAAAGGAAATTAATTAAAAGAAATATTTAATATCGCTATTCACCCTTTCTCTATAATAGAAGTGTCAACCAAATTCACAATCGACAATGACAGATGGAAACACACATGTGCAACTGGCACCAGCGAGAGCTTTATATATATAGATAAACTTGCTTAATTAGACCTGCTTTCTGATTTAGCTAAACTTTTTTCCAGCCCAGTGAAGCACTCTAACTTCTCTTTCAGCAGTTAGAGTGGGCCATAGTTTGCCCATGGCTGTTCTAAACTGTCTTAATCTCCATTTTCCAGCTAATGAACTGCTAATTGTCAGCAACACAGCAGTAAATATCAACACGAAGCAGATTATTATTGTAGATCATGCAGGGAAGAACAAAGGGTGAAATATTTAACTGTAGCAGTGTTTGACTATATTTTGTGCAGTGAGAAAACCTGAAGTTATTTTCAAGTTCCACTATTTCTTACTTCTTTTCAGTCAGGTCAAGGTTCTAAACCAGGGGTGGGCAAACTTTTTGACTCGAGGGCCACAATGGGTTCTTAAACTGGACTCAGAAGAAGGAGCTGCGGCCGTGTTTCCCCATGTTGCCATGTTAACACTGCTGCTGGTGAAGGAGCGGAGGGGAGAGCAAGAGAACTCTCTACTCTTTCGGCTCTGCAGGCTGGATAGAACAGCCGAACGGGCCGGATCCGGCCCGTGGGCCATAGTTTGCCCATGGCTGTTCTAAACTGTCTTAATCTCCATTTTCCAGCTAATGAAAATAGGATTCTACCGTGTCTCCTATCTACCTACTCCACAACTTCTGTGAGGATCAAATGAGATGAGGCATGTGAAAACGCTTTACAGACATTTGGTTAAAGTGTAAAATGTTCACACCTGGCTATAAAGCAAGTTGTGTTTCTGGGCTGAAGAAACTCCAAGGAGGCTAGTTGCTAGGGAAAGGAAGCCAGGCATTGCTACATGACATCATTACCCGGCACCCACAGCCACCGTTTCTGGGCTGGGCTGGGCTGTGGGCCGCATTTTGCACCATGGGTCTGGGCAGCATTGGCTGCGATTTGGTGGGCTGTCGCTCTGGGGTGGTGGTGGGGCCTGTGTCCCACTTGGGGGAAGCCGAGTATTGCTTTGTTGGCGCCAGATCTGCGATGCCATTTCTTTGTAAATGGCCAGTGCCTGCCACAGTAGCTCCTGTGTTGAGCGTCTGCCCCCTGATGGTCAGTGTGCATCATAGCGACCGGTCAGACAGCCAGAGGGACACTTAGCATATTAACCTTTTATATATATAGATTGGTTTCTAATGATACATAACCAATACTAAAATATTTCTCATGCATTTCAAATTGAAATGTAGTGTTCCTACACCATAACCTTTTGAACATCCTTTCTTTCTCTAGTCTTTACTCTTCAATCTATCCATGAGAACTAAAGATGATTGTTTTTCTTATGTTTGCCTCTACTATCATCACATTATCATGAGTCAGGACTTAGGGAGACAGTTTGAGATTTTGATTTATAGAAAATGGGTGTTTTCTCCTGAGCCTTAAATAGGAGCTTAACTATGAGGCATTGTTCTAAGTATGTAGATAAGTATATAAGAATAAAGATTGTTGATCTTGGAAACCAGACCTGAATTATAGGCCTAGCTCAGCCACTAATGTGAAAATGGCTAACATTTACAGAGCACTAACTATGTGCCAATCACTTTTCTATTAACTTGTTATGCTCTAAGGAGGAGGGTGGTATTTTAATCCCCATTTTAGAGACAAGAAAACCGAGGTACAGAGCGTTTAAGTAACTTACCCTGTCATGGAGATGGTTTGCGGTGAGTCTGGTTTTGCAACACAGGCAGTCTGGCTCCAAATTGGTGCATTTAGCTACTACTTTCTATTATTTCCTGATTTTTTAAAAGAGCTATTATTTCTAGCATATGCAACAGGTCTGTATTGGTTTTCTGGAATATTATCTCATGTAATCTTCACTAACAACTGTGAAATAGATGATGCCATTTTCACAAAGGAGAAAACTACGGCTCAGAGACTTTCAAGCTTTGAAACAAGTCTTGGTGTTCCAAGAGCTTCTCTAACCCTCGAGCCACGTATATCTTTGAGCTTCAGCTTCCCCATCTTTAAAATGATGGTTGGAGTAGATGCCTCCGTTCTATGAGGGCGATGGACATAGAGATAAGAGATAAGTCCGCAGATGGGTGAGAGAAGGTGGAGTAAAAAGCAGTCAAGCCTCAGTGGCCGAGGGCCCAGCATAAGGGAGGTGGGTGGGGAGGAGGCTCGGGGGTGTGAGACCCCAACGAGGCCCGTGGGAGGAAATGGGCCTGACAGCCCGTCGCTAACTGGTTTGGGCACTGCCAGTAACTAAGGGGCGGCCGCTCCCGGGACAGCAGCTCACCCGCCCAAATCTTGCTCTACAGGCTTCCCCTTGAAAGCAAACGAAGGAAGGGGCGCGGCTTCCCCGCCCGCGTAGCCGAGCGCCACGTCCCTCTTGGCTCAACTTCCCCCAGGCTTCAGGGTGGACGCGCTACCCGCTGCGAGGAATCGTCTCCACACCAGCCAATCAGCGCCTTCGCGATCCCAGTCGGACCAATCGCCGCTGCCTGGGGGCGGGGGCTGTTGCCAAGGCAGCGAGGAGGCGGGCGCGCACTGTGGGCAGAGGTACAGAGCTAAGCTGCAAACTGGAAGCTGGCAAGACGCGACAGGTCTGTGCGGGGCAGGCATTCAGCTGGCGGAGACTCGGGGGTCGAGACTGGGACTAGGTGAGGCCCGTGATCTCGAGGTGGGTGCGGATCGTACCGCGGGAGGCTGGGGCGGGTCCTGAGATACGGCTAAGGTCTGCCTTGCCGGGGTACTGAGGATGGGTTGGGGCCGCACTGTGGGAAGGCATGGGTGGGAGGGGGCTTCCAGCTCGAACTTGCGGCGGGTGTGTGTGTGGGGGGGGCGGGGGGGAGGCCTTGCCTCCTCTCCATTCGCTGCAGGACACCCAGGCTTTCTTTGGGGTCGATGAGGGTGACAGGCACTTGGCGAGGAGCTGGCGGGGGGTTGGGAGAGTGGGGGTGGGTGCTGGACCGAGACCCAGGCGTGGTTCCAGCCTGGCTTTGGCAGGTTGATGGGTGACGGAGGTGCCAACTGTTGAGGTGGGTGTACCCACAAATTCCCGGCTAATGCTCACCGCCTTCTCCCCCCAACTCCCCCGCGCTGCCGAGCAAAGCTAGGCCGGTGAATCCTGCTCTTCTGCCCGTTCTGTTAAGGCAGTGACCCCTGACACTTAGGAGAGGAGAAAGTCCGTGTCATTTGTGTTATTGTTTTCCCTTAAGTGACAAATTGTTGGGTGTGTGGTGAGCTCTTTCAGTTTCAGAATATGAGAAAATGGTATTTCCTTGTTGCACCTGCTATGTACTAACTCAGCGAGGAAATGTGGTTATTGCGGTGATGCTCTCCACTAAACTCCTAAATTGGATAATGTACATTTTACACAATTGAGTAAGTGCTGTCTGCCATCGCTGCCTTTTATTGAGGCTCTTAAATCCATGGATGAATATGAACAACAAATGATATATTATCTTGTTTAAAAAAAACGTGAAGGGAGAGTGAGGTTAAATGCAAATATTTCTGATAGTTGTTTGAAGGAGATTGTGGATTTAGCATTGATGAGACAGTTGCTTTAAGGAATTCTTAAAGTAACATGACTAGATCAGATTTAGATCAGAATATCTATAGCTTCTTGTACAACCTATATAAATTATTTGTTTCTTAAGGTCTTCCCTGGTAAATTCTGATGAATAATTAGAGTCAAGCAATATCCAGATTCTAGCATCTTACCCCTCATAGAAATTGTCTCAGAATTTATCCTGATTTAATCCAAGTGTGAGTTCTTGTTTTACAAAACAAACAAGTTAAACAAAAAAAGTGTCAACAAACATTCCTCAATTAGTAGGGTCGAGAATTTAAAAAAAAAGAAGCTAATGTGGACATTAAGAATTAGAAATGAAATCTCAAATAATATCACTCTTGTTATTAGGGTGAACATGAAACTTCTAGTTCTCATTTTGGTCTTTAAACTCTCCATGATCTGGTCCAACTTTGTAGTATGAGTGAAAAATTTATTTCTGTCTCCTTGTGGTTACTCATTCTGTTCTACAGCACCTATCCTAATTTTACTCATCTTGCAAGGGTCAGGTCCATGTTGTATTTACTTTTCTCTGATCTCCTGAGAGAGTTATTATTCACATCACACATTTTGTATATACCCACTCAGCATGCTTTTTGGCAAGCTGGTTTATGGTCTGTAAAGCCCAGTTAAAATGTAATGCACAATGAAGGCAATAAGGATAATTTTCAAAACACTAGTTATTGAGTCCTTGTCAGTGTGGCTCAGTTGGTTGGAGTGTTGTCCCCTGCACTGAAGGGCACATGCCCAGGTCCGGTGTGGGGGTGGGGCATGTGGGAGGTGGCTGATGGATGTTTTTTTCTCTCTCTCTCCCTTTCTCTCTTTGAAAGATCAATTAAAAACAAACAAACCAACAAAAAACAAAACAAAAACACTAGTTATTGATATAGTTTAGAGACTCTAAACTTTAAAGTATCAGTAACACCAGTGTCTTTTTGTTTTCGGATTTGTTGTGTATATCTCTATATTAAACCAATTTTGTGTTATTTAGAATAATATTTAAATTGCTTTCCACTTTCTAAGGACTTTTTGGATGACTTAGATGTGCAAAATAGTCTTGTAAATATTGGGTAGCTGGAGGAATCAAGTGTAGGATTTTTAAATATTTAAAATAATCCTTAAAGTAGATAATCTTTTTAAGTATTGTGAGTAATTGAGTTAACTATATTTGGCATGATACATGATGAACTCTTTCTTAATAATTGAAGGTCTAGAAAGGGGAAATTTGGTATTTTTATGTTCAATATATGCAACTAGCTTATAGACGTTAGAAAGCAGGCTCCTAACAATTTCAAATAATGGATTAGGAAAAGGAAAAACTGTAATCACTTTAATGATTTCCAATCTAAAATATTATAAAAGAAAACCCCACCATGATATGGTAAAAAATATGCTTAATTAGAATTTTTTAAAATATTCTTAAAATTTTTTTTTTTTATTGATTTCAGAGAGGAAGGGATAGGGAGAGAGAGATAGAAACATCAACGATGAGAGAGAATAATTGATTGGCTGCCTCCTGCACACCCCCTACTGGTGATTGAGCCTGCAACCTGGGCATGTGCCCTTGACCAGAATCAAACCGGGACCCTTTAGTCCACAGGCCAATGCTCTATCCACTGAGCCAAACTGGCGAGGGCCTTAATTAGAATTTGAAAGGCAGATTCCAATCCTGGCTCTACCAAATGACCTTGGCCAAATCAGTTACCCTTCCTGTGTTTTACAAACTTTTATAAAAGTAAGGTCTGAACCAAACCATCTCTAAGATAATTTTTGGTCCCAGAATTCTCTATTATCAAGGATACTGTAACTGATTGTTACTTGGGAAAAAAGGCCATGTAATGGATTCCTGGATTGATGTCCTTTTTTGCTGATATGAGCATGAGAAACACTAACATCTATACTGATGTCTTGGTAAAGGGAAGGGTTGAAGTTCAACCCAGCTGGTATTTTATTTTGAACCTCACTTTCCCATTGACTCCCATTTTCAAAGGGAAAAATGGAGTTGAGCATCAAGGTACCAGTTGTGCTCATTACTGCTGCCATGGAGAAACTTGGAAGCCATGTTTTCTCTACCCCACTCCTTTTCACTGTTAGCATTCTGACATTGACAGTAACAAGCAGCAACCCAGGTTTCTTGGCTCAGGACAGTGCCTTGGAGAAAGACACCTGGGCCTCTTGCAAAATCTGGTTTAATGTCAGAGAGGAAGAGATTGTATTCCTTCTCCTTGGCTGTGTTCTTTTCATTGGCCTATAGCTGCATCCGGGCCCGGGTAATGGCAATGCTCAGCGAGTGCTAACATGCCCCTTCAAAAAATGACATTTAAAGGTTGTATGTCAAACTGGTGTATTGCTTTTTAACAGAACAGATTTTCATTATTTCAATATATAGCGATTTCATTTTTAAGACAGGAAGGGTATTAATATTTATTGAGCATTTACTATTGCCATGTATTATCTACTCACACTGTATTCATTCTTCTTTTCATCCAATCAAAAACTTACGAGGAAGTATTAGTTTAATTTTATAGGTAGAAAAATTGAGAGACTCAGAGGGACAGGTAATGTTCTAGTACATAGGAGTGGTTAGGTTTCCATCTGTTGTTTAATTTTGACCATGGTGTGTTAATAAAAGTCATATGCCTTTCCCACATATGACATGCATATGGTTACTCTTCTGCTTAAGATTTTTATGTTAAATATGCCATAAGAGTAAAGAAATACATCTGTTCTTAAAATTTGAACACATCTTATTTTCTTATTTTTGTACAGACTGCTTAGAAATAATTAATTACGTTCACTAATGAGTTTGCACATGAGCTAACTGTTTTGAATTTTATAGTTAGGTAGTGGGGTTTCAAAAAAGAATTTGAGATATTTTGCTTTATTACTGATCTCTGTGACAGACTAGGGCCAAAGTTAATTTTTAAAAGTAGTGATAAAGGTGAAGAAAGATTCCAGTTAAGGATTTAATGGGAAAACTTACCCTATATCTTGAAGTCTTATTGCTGAGAAAAATAAACTTTTAGTTGGAGTTATTCTTATTTATTTAAAAAGGGAGCAATACAGTAAAACCTGGGTACCACAATCACTATCTCTGTCTATTCCATTTTTTATTCTGTTTATTTAATATAGCTATCTCCCCCTCACTACTGGAATATGATAGAATTTAGTCTTCTTCCACATCATAACCACTTAGTACTTTTTTTAGAGGATGTACAAATGCATACACTGTCATGCCATTACCACTGTAATATGCCTACATTTATGTATATATTTAATGTTTTAATTTTTTTACATTTAGATCCTGTTAAGAGTCCATTTTTAGTGAAAAAGCATTGAGCTGGAGCCAGGACCAACTCCTTATTAATTTGATATTGTGCAAGTCATCTGGAGAGAGATCTCAGTTGCCTCATCTGTGAAAAGGAGATAAAAATTCTTAATTTATCTGAAGGTAAGTGATCAGTTAGGAAAGCAAAAAAAGAAAAACAGACTTAATGATGACTTAAACACATAGTATTTATTTTTTCATGTGAAATAATTCTTGAAGCAGGCAGTCTAGGTTGGGTGTGGTAGCTTCACGAAGGCATCAAGGACCTAAGCTTTTTCTAATTCTTTGATCTGCTATCTGTAGGGTATGGCCCTGGGCCTTACAGTCTGAGAGAGCTGCTAGAGCTCTAACCATCACAGCCAAGTTCCAGGCATCGAGGCAAAAGCAAAGAAGGATGTATGCTCTCCTTTTGGAGAGACATCCTGAACCTCAGGCTACCAGGGAAGCAGGAAAATGCAGCTGCCCTGAATAAAACTGGGCTTTTGTTGTTGAGGAGGAAGGGAAGATGTAGCTATTGGCAGCAAATAGAATTACCTTCCAGAGTATGGATCTTTTTCTCTTTTATCTCTGAGAACTGGTAAGCCATGATAACCACTCATAGATGCTTTGGTAATTTTCCATGGTATAACTTCTAAGTCTGACCATGTCTACAGAAGAAAATAAATAATAAATTGTGTTTTTTGTTTTTTTACTTTTATCCCATGATTCATTATAGAAGCCTTTCTGTCTCTATTGGGATTTATTCTGGTTATTTTTAAAATTACTCATAAATGCTAATAGATTTCTGTGTGTGCAATTTATAGATGTGTTAAAATAGAGCTATCTTTTTTTTTTTTGGCGCGGGGGGGGGCACTTGCTTTATGTAAGGCTCTAAAAAGACAGAGAGATAAGTTATCCCAAGGGTATCACATAATCATTGGAAGTAAAAAAAATTTTCAGTTATCAATAATCGTGCCTTGGATAAACCTCATGGGCTACAATACTGCCACTGTGCAAAGCTAGGAAGTAAATGTGTTGTTTTTTTAATTCTCACTTCCTCATTTGAGGATATGTTTAGAGAGAGAGAGAGAAGAGAGAGAAGAGAGGAGAGAGAGAGAGAGAGAGAGAGAGAGAGAGAGAGAGAGAGAGAGAGAGACGAGAGTTGGGAGATAAACATGGATCAATCAGTTGCCTCTTGTACCTTCTTGTACCTGCCCCCTGGGGATCAAGCCTGCAAGCTGAGTATGTGTCCTCACTGAGAATCGAACTTGAAACTTTTTGGTGTACAGTACAACACTCCAACTAACTGAGCCACCTGGCCAGGGTTATGAAGTAAATTTTTGATGAAAAGTATAATCCATCTCAATATACATTTAAGCTCAGTATGATCACATGAGGGACACTTTTGCCTTCCTTGTTAGTCAGAAGTTATGGTTTTCATTCTTTAGCCATTTGACTGCTATCTATCTTGAAATTTCTTCTTACTATACTAGGGTTTGTTTTTTTTAACTTTACTAGTTCTCGCTTAACTTACTTAGGTATACCAGTATTTTATTTTATTCCAGACTTTCATTTGAAATACTATATGAATATACTCTATACTTGTCATGTGAAATGAGTTAGTTGCTATTATATCCGTGGAGAAAGTAACTTGAAATAGTTTTGAGAAAAGGAAACTGAAATTCAGGGGATGTAAATTGGAGGGGGGAAGGATCTAAAGAGTTAATCAATCTTTTGGGATTATTAGAAGGAAGATAAGAAACAAATTATGATTTTATTCTACCAATTATATGTTTTCCAAGATTTTGAATTTTTTGTTGTATCACTTAGGGACAAAGTATAGTAACTCTTTTGCTACTAGTGCTTTTTAAAAAATGTTGACAATATTACAACTGTCCCCCTCCCCCTGCTCCTTAACCCTTCTTCACCCAGCCCCCACCCCACCCCAGGGATTCCGCACACTATTGTCTATGTCCATGAGCAATGCATATATGCATATATGTTCTTTGGTTAATCTCTTCCCATCTCACCCATACCCCCTGAGATCTGTCATTCTGTCCCATGCATCCATGGCTTTGGACCTATTTTGTTTCTCAGCTTATTTATTTATTTTTTAATATATGTTTTATTGATTTCAGAGATGAAGGGAGAGAGAGATGTTTAGAAACATCAGTGATGAGAGGGAATTATTGATTGACTGTCTCCTGCACATGCCACACTGGGGATCAAGCCCGAAACTGGGCATGTGCTCTGGCTGGGAATAGAACCATGACCTCCTGATTCATAGGTCTACATTCAACCACTGAGCTATGCTGGCTGGGCATCATTTTATTTTATTACTAGAGGCCTGGTGCATGAACTTTGTGCACGAGGGCGGGGTCCCTCAGCCTGGCTTGCACCCTCTCCAATCTGGGACCCCTTGGGGGATGTCCAACTGCTGGTTTAGGCCCAGCAGTCGACATCCCTCTCGCAATCTGGAACTCCTGGCTCCTAACTGCTCACCTGCCTGCTGGCCTGATTCCCCTAACTGCTCTCCCCTGCCAGCCTGATTGCCCCTAACCACCTCTGCCTGGGCTCTGCCACCATGGCTTTGTCCAGAAGGACATCTGGAAGGTCGTCCAGAAGATGTTTGGTCTAATTAGCATATTACCCGTTTACTAGTATAGATTACTTTTAAAAAATATTTTTATTCATTTCAGAGAGAAAGGTAGAGGGAGAGAGAGATAGAAACATCAATGACGACAATCATTGATGGGCTGCCTCCTGTATGCCACCTACTGGGGACAGAACCTGAAATTCAGGCATGTGCCCTTGACTGGAATCGAACTCGGGACCTTTTAGTCCGAAGGCTGATGCTCTATCCACTGAACCAAATCAGCTAGGGTTGGGCATCATTTTAATTCTTGTAATAGACCCTCTGGAGCTACTGAGATCCTCTGGAATGGAAGCCGAATAAGGAAAATTTGAATCATATCGTGGGACCAGCAATAGTTGTTCCTTGTTTGTCTCAATCCTGTTACATCCTGCTAGATATTTTATTGATCTATTTATTTGAAAAATTATTGACTAGAAATAATTTTAACAAATGACTATTGGCTATGGTAATGATTATTAAGGTTAAGAGAATATTTGTAACTAGTTATTTGTTTCTTTTAATCAACTTGTGCCCATAGAACACCCTTTTTACAAAATTAAGTTGAAGCTAATTAAATATTATATCCAGAAGTAATTTTGGCTCTCTAATATCTTAATTGAGGGAAAAAAAAATGAATTTTTTTCTCTTATTCTCCCTTTCTAAAACATGGGCCATTTATTTTTTTAAATTTTGAGTCCTTCATTGCCATCTTTATTTGAAGCTTTTATAATTAATGAATTGTTTTCTTATACTATATAAACTGTTAAAATTTTATTTCCTTGTCTTTTTAATTTTAGTGAAAAGCATTTCTCCCTTGATTTTCTTTAGTGCTATATTTTAAGCATTATTTTTATGTTATAATCTATTTTAATCCTTTTCCTAGAATTCTTTTGTTGTATTAAACTTCTTGAAATTTAATATATTACTATTAAATGTGGCTTTGGGAATTCATGTATATACAGTTTGAAAACATCTTTTCAGGACCTTTCTATAATTACACCTTTATTTCAGATGAGGTGGAGTACCATCCTACAGCAATGTTATTTTCTCTCGGTTACATGTCTACTTACTGCTCTTGAAGCTGTGCCTATAGACATAGACAAGACAAAAGTAAAAGGTGCTCAGCCGGTGGACAGTGCAAAGATAGAACCACCAGTAAGTCAAATGACAAATATAATTTTATGGAAGGAATTTTAACTGAAATATTGCTAATATTTATTAGTTATAAAATTGGACATTGAGAAACTATTTTTGAAATAGCACTGAAAAGAGTATAGGACAAGCATATATTATTTAATATTAGACAATGTTTTTTAATGCAGTTAATATATATATATTTAAATATATTTTTATTGATTTCAGAGAAGAAGGGAGAAGGTGAGAGAGATAGAACATCAACGATGAGAGAGAATCACTGATAAGACTGGGGATTAAACCTGCAACCTGGGCATATGGCCTGACTGGGAATTGAACCATGACCTTCTAGCCCTAGGTCAGCGCTCAACCACTGAGCCATGCTGGCCAGGCCTAAATGTAGTTAGTATATTAAGTAATGTATAGAAGAATTAATCACAATACATTTCTAATGTAGAGCTAACCAGCCAAAAAAAACATTGTATTATATTCAAAGGAGAGATAGATGGCAATGAGGAGAAACAGGTACCAATGAGGTAAAACCAATTAATATATTTTTTGAAATCTTTATTGATTAAGCCATATAGAAAACCTACCTTTATATAACAGTAAAACACAATTTTGGTGTGATCCCTGAAACATGGTTTCTGCAGCTCTTCATTTGAGATTTTTAACTTTGACTGCCCAAACTATCAAAGTAGTTCAATGCTATTTTGCTAGACTTCTTTGTTGTTGTTGTTGTTGTTGTTAAATTGAGATCTTTAGATGCAGGGAAGGAAAATCTTTCAGAAGCTTACTGTTTGTTTCTTAATTTGAAGGATACTGGACTATATTATGATGAATATCTCAAGCAAGTGATCGATGTGCTGGAAACAGATAATCATTTCAGAGAAAAGCTCCAGAAAGCAGACATAGAGGAAATAAAGGTAAAAGTAATTAAATAATTATTTTAAAAATATTTGAACATGCCGACACCAATCTAAGTGCTGGGGATATAAAGAGGAGACTCTCTCCCGGCCCTTATAGAACCCTCAAGGGAGACTAACATCCAGAAGATTATTAAGATGAGTAGATAGTATATTTTGGATATACAGAGGATGGATTCATACTTCAGTAAGAAGCAATGGGGAAAGGCGGGAAGTCATTCTTTTTGGTGGAGATTATGTCAGTGCTAATGATGTGACTAAGAAAAGGAAAGAGACTGGGAGGCATCTAAATAAGAGATATACAGAGAACTGGAAATAGTAACTGTTGCTGGAACCTAGACTAAAAAGTGGAGGCCGTGACTGGCTAAAAGATGAGGTTGGACAGAGTCATGGGTTAGATCAGGGGTGGGCAAACTTTTTGACTCAAGGGCCACAGTGGGTTCTTAAACTGGACCGGAGGGCTGGAACAAAAGCATGGATGGAGTGTTTGTGTGAACTAATATAAATTCAAAGTAAACATCATTACATAAAAGGGTATGGTCTTTTTTTTTTTTTTTTTTTTTTTTTAGTTTTATTCATTTCAAACGGGCGGATCCTACCCGCGGGCCGTAGTTTGCCCACAGCTGGGTTAGATGATAGAGGGCCTTGTACATCATATTAAAGGGCTTGGATCATGATGTGAGAACAGAAGGAAGCTAATCAAAGATATAAAATAGGTTAAGTTCTGGAGTCTTAATCAGGTCCAGATTAATAGAAGAGGTAATGGGCCACATCTTAAGTCAACAGGGGCTATTTAGCCCTAGCCAGTTAGATTCAGTGGATAGAGTGTCAGCCTGCAGAGTGAAAGGTCCTGGGTTTGATTCTGGTCAAGGGTGTGTACCTCAGTTGTGGGCTCCTCCCTGACCCAGGTCCTGGTAGGGGCTCATGCAGCAGGCAACCAATCAATGTGTTTCTCTCACATTGATATTTCTGTCTTTCCCCTTTTCTTCTTCTCTCTCTAAAAAAATCAATGGGAAAATGTCCTTGGGTGAGGATTAAAAAAAAAAAAAATAGGGGAGATTTAACTATTTGCCTCTGTCTTAAGAATACTATTAGACATAATTATAGCCCCAAACATCTCCTTAGTACTCATAATAAAGAAAGGGAGTTGTAAAAGACTTACCAGAGAGATTCTTTTAAAGCTCATCCTTGAAGGGTGATGAATCAGTTTAGTTGGGTTTATCTTAGAGTCAGCAGTAAAAAAACTTCCAGTGACTTAATATTAAACTTTCAGTTATACCTCTTAAGATAATGCTGTTTGCTTATGCTATTTTTGTTTATTTTTTAAAACTTTTCTTAAAAAAAATACCTCATCCATTTCTAGAATCAGAATTAGAGACCTTTGTTAGAAGGAACCCTTCTGGGTCATCCTTCTTATTTTAGTCTCTGTCCCACCTGTGCATGAATTCATGCACCAGGACTTTAGTAGTTTATAAAGCGTTCCCTCCAAAAATTCCAGTGCCCACCTGGCCCCATACATAGTTATTACAATATTTTTAACTATATTTCCTATGCTTTATCTTCCATCCCCATGCCTATTTTGTAACTATCAATTAGTACTTCTTAATCCCATCACCTTTTTTCACCCCTCAGCACTCCTCCCCTCTGGCATTCATCAGTCTGTTGTCTGTATCTATGTCCTTTTTATGCTACTATCTCTTGTTTAAGTTCTCACTGAGTTCATCTATTCTTACCCTAAGTTCCTTGAACTTTCTTATAACCATTGTTTCGCACTCTATATCTGGTAGATTTCATTTTTTTTAGCTCTTTTTCTAGGGATTTCTCATGTTCTTTCATTTGGAACATGTTTCTCTGTCTCCTCATTTTGGTAGCCTCTCTGTATTTGTTTCTGTGTATTTGATAGATCTTCTATATTTCCCAGTCATGGTAGGTTGGCCTTATGTAGAAGGTGTCCTGTGGGACTCAGCAGTGCAGTTTCCCTGACTACCTGAGTTAAGGTGCTCCAAGAATGTCCCTTGTGTGGGTTATGTGAACCCTCCTGTTGTAGTTGAGTCTTGATTGCTGTTGGCCCATTTGAGTTGGTGACTATGGGGATTGACCCTGGCCATAGTGCATGAACTGCTCTGGTGGAGGGGCTGATACCATGAAGTGGAATTAATCCAAGTAGGGTCTGGTGCCTGCCAAGATCTCCCTTTGGGTGTGCTGCTTGTGGAGCAAATTGATGTGGTCTGAAGCCAGTCACTGGGTGTGTTGGTTCCGGAGCCTCTTGTGAGGGACTCTGGTGCAGGTCAATGTCAGATGCTACCTGTGGCTGGCCCTGGGACACCTGTTTGGAGTTGCAGAGTGATCTACTGTTTGTGGCTGCCTCTGCTGGATCTGGGTGTGCATGGGAGGGGACTAGCTGCATACTAAGTCTTGCTTCCACCAGTACAGAGCTCAGGGGCAGGTCAGCCAAAGTCCCAAGTTAACCTGAGATCTGCCTCCACCTGCTGGCTGCTTGTTAAGCTCAGTCACTGACCATAGGCAAGTTGTGCGAGATCTCAGTGAGTCACCAGGTTGATACAGATTCAAACTCAGTGCCAATGCTGGGCGTGAGGCCATTCAGCAAAAGTCTCAGGGTACACCAAGGCCAGTTGACACCTGCCTGGGGCCTTTGTGCCTTTATGGTGGGGCTGGGTCTCAGGGCTTTGCTAGGGTAAGGCCATCAGAGTTCATCAGGCTAAATCAGATCAAGATTTGGCTGTGTGGAGGGATGGCTCTGCACAGGAACAGTGGTGCTGGCCTTGTGTGTGAGAGAAAAATGGCCCTTGCCCTAGAACCACACAACTCAGTCTCTCCCTTTGTGTCTGCCACCCCCTGAGTCTCTCCAGATCTCCTCCACAGCCCTCCAAGAAAGTCTGCACCATGGGCCCAGGTTGGAGACTGTGACAGATTGGCAGGGCAGGGCTTGCAGGAGTTGGCAGGGAGGCGCTAGTGCCACTCCAGGCTGATGTCATGAGAGGTAGGGGCAAGCCTAACCCTAGAACATTGGTGCCACTCAGGTGCTCAGGAAAAAAAATGGCCTTTGCTTGACAGCGACACAACTCAATCTCATTCTGCATGACTCTGGTACTCCTCGAGTTTGCCTGAGCTTCCTCAAGAGCTCGTCAATAAATTCTGCACAAGGGGTCCAGGCTGAAGGGCACGACAGACCTCTCTACCAGAAGTGATCCTGGCAGGGCAGTGCCTCCAGGGGTGACCAGTAGGGACTATTGCCACTCCCAGGCTGATGTCTTATGGAGGGGAATGCTTGGCCTAGGAATGATGGCGTCTGTGGATGGTGTGGGAGAGGGACCTAGCACAGGGACATTTGCTGCTGTCTCTCCAACCCTCTGCTCACAGCCATACCATTCAATCTCTTCCAGTATGACTTCTGTCCCCTCCAAAATGTTGATCCTCCACTAGAGCCCAGAGTGAATGCTGCAAGTGAGGTTTTGTGCACTGGCTCTTTAAAAGACCAATCTCCCTTCTCACCAGGGTGGGTGGAAGCCCCACTGGTTGTCACAGCCAGATACTGTGTGGGCTTAGATTCTTGGCTCTGGTGCTATGGGTTAGGGAGCCTGGTGTGGGGCTGAGGCCCCTTGCTCTTCCAGGGGACCTCTTCAGCTGAGATATCCCTCTGGACTCTTTTAAAAAATATATGTTTTTATTGGTTTCAGAGAGGAAGAGAGAGGGGGAGAGAGAGAAATATCAATAATGAGACAGAATCATTGATCAGCTGCCTCCTGCACACCCCCACTAAGGATTGAGCCTCCAACCCAGGCATGTTCCCTTGACCAGAATCAAACCCAGGACCCTTCAGTCTGCAGACTGATGCTCTATTCACTGACCCAACCTGGCTAGGGCGTCCCTCTGGATTCTTACTCCCCTACCCTACCCTCATGTGGGTGTGGAGCCAGCCCTTTTCACATCTCTGATCTTCCTACCAGTCTCCATGTGGGTTCCTCTGCATATCCTTAGTTATAAGACTTCTGTTCATAAAGGAAGGGAAAGAATAAAGAAAATAAAAACCTTGGGAATATTAAAAAAAGGCTGTTCAGTTAGTCTTTAGATGGTTATTCAGGTTGATTGTTCCAACTTTAGTTGCAACTCTGATATTGATATGGTCTAGGGAGGAGGTCAGTGTAACTTCCATCTACTTCACTGCCATCTTGCTCTGAACTCTGACTTCTTTCTTTCTCTTTTTTTAGGTTTCATCTGAATACACATTTATTAAATAAATATTAGAGGTTATCACATATTTAACTACGTACAGCTTTGCATCAATGACTTCTTAATTGTTAAATCTAGTGAACACTTTTTCAGTAAGAACCTCTTCTTACTGAGCTCTTTTCCTCTATCTCAGTGGTTCTCAGATTTCAGGGCTGGTTCAAACACAGAGTTAGGGCCCCACCTCCAGACTTCCCGATTCAGTAAGTCTAGGGCCTGTATTTCTAAAGTTCCCGGGTGGCGCAGATGCTTCCACTTGGGGCCACGCTTTGAGAACTATTGTTTTATCTAGTAATAATGACCACTCTCTCCTTGAAATATACTGCTATTTTTTGCTTCTACAACCGTATATTTTCCTAGCTCTCCTTCTTCCTCTATGAACATTCTTTCTTGGTCTCCCTTGTGGGGTTTCTTTTCCTTACCATCTTCAGCAGGTCCCATTGACTCAGTCCTAAAGCGTTTGCCTGATTGCCAGTTAGACTTGCAGTTTGTGACTGCAAGTGCACTTATAAATAAGAGAAAGTAAACCACTAGCTATTTTGTTTCTTAAATCTTGGAACATGTATCTGATTACTTATTTATAAAAAACATCAATTTTGAAGGTAGTTATATATGGGATGACTATAGCTGAAGTAGGCCAAGTTAGTTAAAAAAAAAAACCTTTACTAAATATAATTCACATACCATAAAATTGCCCCTTTAAAGCTTAATATTCAGTTTTTTTTAGTATATCAACCAAGTCATGTAATCATTACCACTAATTTTAGGACAATTTCACTTGCCCCCAAAAGAAACCCTGTACCCATTAAGCAATCTCTCCCCATTTCCTTCTCTCTCCCCATTTCCTTTTCTCCTTAGCCCCTGGCAGCCATTAATTTACTTTCTATCTTTGTGGATTTGCCTATTCTGGACATTTCAGATGAATGCAATTATGCAATATATGGCCTTTCGTGTCTGGCTTCTTTGACTTAGCATAATGAATGAAAACATATGTTCTCAAGGTTCATCTCAAAGTAGCATGTATTAGTACATTGATTCCTTTTTATGGATGAGTAATATCCCATTGTATGGATATTCCATTTATTGGTTGTCAGTTCACCAGTTGATGGACATTTGAGTTATTTCTACCATTTTGGCTAGTATGAATAATGCTACTGTGAGCATTCATGTACAAGTTTCTAGGTAAATATAGGTTTCAATTCTTTAGGTATATACTAGTACCTAGAAATAGAATTGCTGGGTCATATGGTAACTCTGTTTAACCTTTTTTTTATAAGAGCAAGTTTATTTAATTTGTATTTATTGATTTTTAGAGAGAGAGAGGAAAGGATGGAGGGAGAGAAACATCAATTTGTTGTTCCACTTATTTATGCATTTATTGGTTGATTCTTATATGTGCTCTGACCGGGGGTTGAACCCACAACCGTGGCATATCGGGACGATGCTCTAACCAAATGAGCTATGCTACTTGGCTGGGGCAAGAGAAAGTTATTTAGAAAGTTACAGAGGCAGAAGAAGTAGGTGCAGAAGAAATTGGCTCAGAAAACAAATTATAGAAGCAAAAGCTCTCCTTGGAGCTTAGGAGAAAGAGAGGCAAGGAAAATGCCCCTGTGGGGAGGGGGTAGGGAAAGGTGCAGGCATGTTTCTTAGAGAGAGCTGCTGTGTTTAAATTTTTGAGGAACTGCCAATTCTTTCCCCAAAATAGCTGCACTATTTTATAACACAAGTGACTTTTTGAGTTTCTCCTTTGTGCTTTAATTATGCCTTTATAAATTTTATGCTTTTAGATATCTTGATTTCAGACTTACAAACTGAATATTTTCTGAAAGAAAATGCTTTTGTAATGTCAGATTTACCAAAATTAGTCAAAAGTATCTTTCTCTACTTTATTATAACCTTATTTTTAATATATGGTATTTGTTCTAAAATATAATGTAATAGATAAAACTAACTTATTATTTTGTCAACAGAGTGGGAGGCTAAGCAAAGAGCTGGATTTAGTAAGTCACCATGTGAGGACAAAACTTGATGAACTGAAAAGGCAAGAAGTGGGGAGGTTAAGAATGCTAATTAAAGCTAAACTGGATTCCCTTCACGGTAAGAGCTACATAAAAGGTAGAAAAATGTCAATATCTGGTTGTTGAGGTCAAATTACATTAAGTAGCATATGCCATGTTTTCTAGTAAAAATTTAATGTTAGATTTATTTGGTTTTTCTTAATTTTTAAAATTTAATTATTTGAATAGTTAATATATTCACATCATTAAAAAATGATTGGTTTAAAATAATTATATCAATAAAAAGGGAGAATGAAAAGTAATGAATTAAGCCACCGATTTAAGTGAGGAAAAATAACATCAAAGTAAACCAAAAGAAAAGAGAGAGAGAAAATCTAGTTGGAACAATTTTCATAGATGAAATAGAAAAATTGTCAGAGAGCTAGCTTCACAAAAAACACCAGCCCAGCCAGTGTCAACGGGAATTTTACCAAACCACTGAAGGGCAGATGGTGAATGCTCTTTAAACTGTTCTAGAACATAGAAAAAGAAGGAACGTGTCCACACTCTTATTTTGTATGATGTCAAAACCAAAATTATTGTTGTCAAAAGGATTCTAGCCCTAGCTGGTTTGGCTCAGTGAATAGAGCGTTGGCATGCGGAGTGAAGAGTCCCAGGTTTGATTCTGGTCAAGGGCATATGGCCGGGTTGCAGGCTCAATTCACAGTAGGGGGCGTGCAGGAGGCAGCCAATCAATGATTCTCTCTCATCACTGTTGTTTCTATCTCTCCCTCTCCCTTCCTCTTTGAAATCAATAAAAATATATTAAAATATATATATATATATATATACTAGAGGCCCGGTGCACAAAAATTTGTGCACTCGGAGGAAAGGAGGGGCCCTCAGCCCAGCCTGTGCCCTCTCGCAGTCTGGGACCCCTCGGGAGATAACAACCTGCTGGCTTAGGCCTGCTCCCGGGCGGCAGAGGGCAGGCCCAATCCCTAGGTGCAGCCCCTGGTCGGGCTCAGAGCAGGGCTGATTGGGGAGTTGGGGCGCTGCCCCCTGTCAAGCACAGAGCAGGGCGGATAGGGAGGTTGTGATGCCACCCTCAGTCATGCTCAGGGTAGGGCCGATTGGGGAGTTGGGGCATCGCCCCCTGTCACACTCAAGGCAGGGTCGATGGGGAGGTTGTGGCGCCACCCCCTGTCATGCACAGAGCAGGGCCAATCAGGGGGTTGGGGCACTGCCCCCTGTCACTCACAGAGGAGGGCCCATCAGGGGGGTTGGGGCTCCGTACCCTGTCACGCACAGAGCAGGGTCGATCAGGGGATTGGGGAGCTCCCCCCTGTCATGCACAGAGCAGGGCCGATCTGGGGGCTGGGGAGCTCCCCCCTGTCACGCACAGAGCAGGGCCCATCAGGGGGTTGGGGAGCTCCCCCCTGTCACTCACAGAGCAGGGCCAATAGGGGAGTTGGGGCACCGCCCCCTGTCACACACAGAGCAGGGCCGATCAGGGGGTTGGGGCGCCGCCACTGTCACACTCAGGGCAGGGCCGATGGGGAGGTTATGGCTCTACCCCATCACACACAGAGCAGGGCCCGTGTGTGTATGTGGGGAGGGGGTTGGGGTGCCGCCCTCTATCACCCACAGAGCAGGGCTGATCAGGGGATTGAGGCGCCGCACCCTGTCACACACAGAGCCGCAGGGGGATCAGGCGGTTGGGGAGTTCCCCCCTATCAGGCACAGAGCAGGGCTGATCAGGGGGTTGGGGCGCCTTCCCCTGTCACGAACAGAGCAGGGTGGATAGGGAGGTTGTGGCCCCACCCCCTGTCACACACAGAGCCGCAGGGCGATCAGGGGGTTTGGGCGCTGCCCCCTGTCACGCTGATCCCAGTGCCGGGAGGCCTCTCGGCTCTGCTGATCCTGGTGCTGGGAGGCATATTACCCTTTTACTATATAGGATAGAGGCCTGGTGCACGAGTGGGGGCTGGCTGGTTTGCCCTGAAGGGTGTCCTGGATCAGGGTGAGGGTCCCCACTGGGGTGCCTGGCCAGCCTGGATGAGAGGATGATGGCTGTTTGCAGGTGGTCACACACCCTTCAGGGTGGAGGTCCCCAGTGGAGTGCCTGGCCAGTCTGGGTGAGGGGCTGAGGGCTGTTTTCAGGCTGGTAGGTGACTGAAGCTCCCACTGCTCCTTTCTTTCTTTCTTTTTTTTTATTCTGGGCCAGCTTTAGCTCTGGCTCCAGCTCTGAGGCCTCTGCTGTTGAAAGCAGGTATCTGGTTTGTTTGGGTTCTATAATCGAAACTCTGTATCAACTCCAGCTCTGAGATCCCGGCTGGCTGAAAGCAGGTTTCTGGGGTTTTGTTTAACTTCTATATTTGTAACAATGTTTCAAACTGCAAGCTCAGAGGCCGGCAAGGCAGGCCGGGAACATTGGTTTCCTCCATCACTGAAGCAAGCAAGCCTCATGTTTGCTTCAAGTTGCCTGGCTGCCGGCCGCCATCTTGGCTGGCAGTTAATTTGCATATCGCCCTGATTAGCCAATGGGAAGGGTAGCGGACGTATGGCTAATTATCATGTGTCTCTTTTATTAGATAGGATCCTCCAGTAAGGATTAACAAACAAAAGATTTGTCAAATGCCCTTTCTGTATGTATGTCAAATGCAACACAGGCATTTGACAAAATTTACCATCTCTTCTTAAGTTGATAGTAATCAATAGCTACTTCTGTAACATGATCAGATATATTCAACTCAGCTACATCATACTTAATGGAGAAACACAAGTATGTATCACAACTACAATCAGGAGCAAGACAATTGATGCTCACTCTTACTACTATTAATTAAAATTTTATTGGAGGTACTAGCCAAAACAATTATACAAATGAAAAAAAATTGAGGTGAATTAATTGGAAAGAAGATGATAAAACCATCTCTATTTGTAGATGACGTATTTGGAAAACCCAAAGTAATTGGCTGAAAACTTAGTATAAACTTCAGGAAAACTCATCAAGGTAAACTTATACAGAAATCAGTATATTTCACATGTACAAATAATAGCCAGTTAGAAGATATAATGGAAGAAAAGACTCCATTTGTAATACCACAAAAATAAAATACCAGGAATAATCCAATTAAGAAATGTACAAGATGTAAAGACAATAAATTTAAAATACTCCTAAAAACCACAAAAAAAGATTTGAAAAAAGTCGGAAGACATAACATCTTTTTGATACAAAAACTCAACATGATAAACATGTCAATTCTCCATAGGTTAATTTATAAATTTAACGTAATCCAAATAAAAATATGTACTTTTCCCCCCTGGTACTAGCCAAGTTAATTTAAAAGTTCATATGAAAAAGAAAGCAAGCAAGGAAAGCCACATACCTCTGAAAAAGAAGAATGAAGAGGACTAGATATATTAGATGTTAAAATATATCACTATGCCTCAGTCATTAGAACTGTATGTTGTTTTTGTTTGTTTGTTAATCCTCATCTGAGGATATTTTTCCATTGATTTTTAGGGAGAATGGAAGAGAGAGGGAAAGATCAATGTGAGATTTCAATTGGTTGCCTCCTGCATGAGCCCTGACCAGGGCCTGGGCCGGGGAGGACCCTGCAACCCAGGTAAATGCCCTTGACTGGAATCGAACTTGGGATCCTTTGGTCCACAGGCCAAAGCTCTATCCACTGAACCAAACCAGCTTAAAATTGTATGTTTTTGACATATAAGTAGGCTGACCAGTGGAATCAGACTAGAAATTCCAGAAGTAAAATTAAATACACATAGAACTTAGTTTGAATTAAAGGTGATATCTAATTTTCAGTGGGATAAAGCTAGATTAAGAAAAAATAAAGTGTCAGGACAATTGGGTATCCTTTTGGAAAAAGGTACAGTTAGTTCTGTATCCTGTATATAAGTTCAAATAAAGATGTAAGTGTAGAAAATAAAATAATAAAAGCACCAGGTGACAACATAGGTGGATTCCTTTATTATTTTAGAATAGCCTTTCTAATAATGAATGAAAATCAAGGGGCCAGATTTAGCAGGTGGGAGACCCTTTAAGCTGGCTCCTGTGTCCTTGTGACTTGCCCCCTCGGTTGGTTATTTGGGTGATGCATTGTCATTAATAGAATCTGAACATTTACTCTTTGTGGAATAGTAGTTTTTAATCTTCAGATGGCATAAGAACCACCTGGGGAGCTAGTTAAAAGTGCAGATACCTGGAGCTCAACTCCAGATATTCAGATTTTGGAGATGAGTAATCTGCATTTTAAACATGCACCTCTGGTCAATGGATTATATTGGAGAAATGTTCTTGTAGGGCATTAAACTCCCTGCTGGTGAATAGACTTAGAAAACAAGTACCAAATACTCATTATCCTGAAATTAAGGATATCAATGAGAGGTAAACTGAGCTCATACTGTACTCTTTCAGGTCACCAGGCACACAAGGTAATTTCATCCTTGAAACCAGCCTAAGGTGTTTTGAGATTTCTTTCTCCTTAGACAACCTCTATTTCCTCAATCTTGGCAATATTTTCTTTATTTCAAGATAGAGACTGAATTCTGTTATCTAAAAAGAAAACAAAAATAAGCTTAGAAAACTTATGAATATTTTGTCATTGATTCAGAATTTATGAATTGAAATTTCTGATAATTTGAAGAAGGGTTTCAAGGATCTTAATTTGGGGGATCTTAATTTTTAAAGTAGGTAATGCATTCACATGGTTTAAACCCAGAAAGACTAAGAAGGTATAGCAAAAAGCTCCCTGATATTTTTGTAAGCTGCCAGTTCCCACTTCCCCTAACATAATCCTTCCCAAGTTTCTTTATTCTTATATAAGCAAACGTAAAAAAAAGTTCTTATTTTTCCTCTCTTTGTATATATACGCTAGCATACAATACATATTTCTTTTTGCCTTGTGTTTTTCCTTTAACAGTATATTTTGGAGGTCTTCCTGTATTAATACATAGAGACCATTTTCATTTTTTAAAAACAGCTGCATAGATTTCCATTACATGGAGAAACCATAATTTATTTAGCCAGGCCCCTGTTGATAGACATTTTTTTTTCCTAGTGAACACTTGTACATATATTGCTATGTACCTGTGTAAGATTACTTGTAGGATAAGTTCCCCACAGTGAAATCGTTAAACCGGAAGACATATGTATTTGTAATTTGGATAGATATTGCCTCCTCCACAAAGGTTGTATTAGTACACATTCCCACCAGCAATAATTTCTCACAGCCTTGCTAATAGTATGCATCTTCAAACTTTAGGAGTTTTGCCATTCTGTTACATGGTATTTTAGTGAAGTTTTAATATGTATTTCTCTTATTTTGAATGAGATTAAGTGTCTTTTCATAGATCTCACTGGTCATATCCTTTAGGACTAAATTTTGTAACACATCTTTTCTTTATTAGCAAAACACCTAGAACAGTGCCATACTAATAATTCAGTAAAAGTTTGGTTGAACTAAATTTAGCAGTTTCTTCCTTTCTTGCATGACATACTATCCCAGGCTTATCTTGTATTTACCCTGTGCAGCCCAGGAATCAGGCATTTTTGTGAGCATTTCTGTTTGGTTTTTAGTGTAAAATTATATTACAAACCAAGGGCTGACACTAGCTGTGCTCATTACTTCTGGAATATATATTCTTCTTGGCATTTTTATCAGATAGAGTTAGGAAATACATGCATGTCTATACACATATACATATATGCACATTTGTAAACATATACATATATACACACATGCAATATATATATATGAAAAATACATGTACATGTACATACTTTAGAAATGATAAGTTCACACTGATAGTACTAATTACCATCCATTTCCACAGGTTTCTTGCCTTCCATCACTCCATATTTGTATATTCCTTTTTCCTAAGTGGAAACCCTGACTTCTAACACAGTTACCTATTTTGTTCAATTCTACAGCCCAGAATCACTTCACACATTCAACTATAATATACTACTGTAGATTACTTTAAAAAAATTGTTTACAAAGAAAGACAATTGATGTTTCTTTAAAAATATCAGTCATAATTGAAATTAATTTACCTGAATTAGACTGTATTTAAAAGATTCATTGGAGAAGCATACAAAGAATCTTTCATATAAATTTTAGAGCAGTTCTTTTTAGAAATTCTAGTTAGACTTTGATGAGGGCAGTGTATTAGAATTTATCTAATGAAAAGTAGAAAACTTCACAGTTTTATGGTAATAAAAAGTTTTTGCTATTGATTATACTGATGGTCAACTAGTCTTTCTAGAAATAACATTAAAATGTACACATTAAGTCTGTTCCATTCTAGATTCAAGGAATTATCTTTGCCCAGAATAATAAATTATGCAATATTTTAAAAGAAAATATGAACCCTTAATCTAAAAGTTTGAATTTTGTTAAAAAAATCCACCACAAATAAATATGAGTGCTTATGCTTATATATTACTTAATGTTTTTAGCTTCTAGTAATTTATCACTTACAGTTTTCTCATTTTTTTTTTCAGATACAGGCATAGACTACCATGCTCTTCTAAAACAATTTGATCACCTAAACCACATGAATCCTGACAAGTTTGAATCTACAGATTTAGATATGCTAATCAAAGCAGTAAGAATAATTCCAAAAAATAATGTCTTTATTGTGCCTTTCAGGTTTTGTAAGTAAATGTATATAATGGTTATATATATGTAATTTGGCAAGTAAATTCAATGAAGTGATAATATAATTTTTATATATTACTCTCCAGAATATCTTTAAAGGGAAATGGCTTAACCTTATTAGTGTCTATATATAAAAAAGCCTGAGCAACCATTACAACTGCTCGACCGAACCACCTGTCAACCAGTTGCTATGACGCGCACTGACCACCAGGGGCCAGATGCTCAATGTAGGAGCTGCCCCCTGGTGGTCAGTGTGCTCCCACAGCCAACTTCCCGTGGTCCCTCCCCGGGGCTGGCTGGCTCTGATCAGCCCCGAACAGCCCCGGCCTGGTCAGCCCCAATCACAGGTGAGGCCAAGGAACCCCACCTGTGCATGAATTCATGCACCAGGCCTCTAGTAGATAATAATTTGTACACACAGGTCTGTAATCCCTTACCGACAATTGCAGAATCAAACAAAACAAAACAAAACACCTGTAAAAACTGAAACCTGACTTGAATTATAGTAGGGCTATTTATATTTTTTATTTAGTCTACTTAGTGCGAGTACTCATAGATTTTGCTAAAGAAGTACTATTCTGTTTGATTATAGACTCTGCAGGGATGGTCCAGAATGTGGCATATGTGCCATATTCCCTTTCTAAAAAATCTAGAAAATTCTTAAATTTTTTTCTTCCAATTATTGAGATATTATTGACATATAACACTGTTTAAGTATACAGTATAATGACTTGACATTGTAAAATGATTACCAAAATAAGTTTAGTTAACATCCATCACCTCGCCCTGACCGGTTTGGCTCAATGGATAGAGTGTCGGCCTGCAGATTCAAGGGTCCCAGGTTGGATTCCGGTCAAGGTCATGTACCTTGGTTGCAGTCACATCCCCAGTTAGGGGGTGTGCAGAAGGCAGCTGATTGATGTTTCTCTCTTGTCGATGTTTCTAACTGTCTATCCCGCTCCCTTCCTCTCTGTAAAAAATCAATAAACTAAAAAAAAAAACACCCAAAACATCCATCACCTCATATAATTATAAAAACTGTTTTTTTTTCTTGTGATGAGAGCTTTTAGGATTAACTCTCTTAGCAACTTTCAGATATACCATACAACACTGTTAACTATAGTCATCATATTGTACATTATGTCCCAGGACTTATTCATCTTATAACTAGAAGTTTGTACCCTTTGACCACATTCACCCCATTCCCCTACCCCTCTGCCTCCATTAACCATAAATCTGATTTCTTTTTCTATGAAATTAGTTTAAGATTCCACATATAAGAGAGGTCATACAATATTTGTCTTCGTCTGACTTATTTCAGTTATCATAAGGCCCTCAAGGTCCATCCATGTTGTCACAAATGGCAGGATTTCCTTCTTTTTTATGGCCAAAATGGTAGTTAGGCTGCTTCCATCTCTTGGTTATTGTAAATAATGCTGCAGTGAACATGAAGGTGCAGATATCTGTTTGCCATAGTGATTTTGTTTCCTTTGGATATACACCCAGAAGTGGAACTGTTGGATTATATGGTAGTCCTATTTTTAATTTTTTGAGGGAACCCCCTTACTGTTTTCCATAGTGACTACACCAATTCACAATCCTACCAACAGGGCATGAGGGTTCCCTTTTCTCCACATCCTTGCTAGCATTTATCTCTTTTTGATGAGAGCCATTCTGAAAGACATGAGGTACTATCTCATTGTGGTTTTGATTTGCATTTCCCTAATGATTAGTGATGTTGAATACCTTTTAGTGTACCTGTTGGCCATTTGAATATCTTCTTTGGAAAAATGACTATTCAGGTCCTTTGCCTATTTTCAAATTGGATTATTTGTGTGTGTGTTTTTTTTGCTATTGAGTTTAAGAATTCTTTATGTATTTTGTATATTAACCCCTGGTCAGATACATGATTTGTAAATATCTTCTCCCATTCCATACGTTGTCTTTTCATTTTGTTGACCTCTGCTGTGCAGAAGCTTTTTAGTTTGATGTCTTCCCTCTTGTTTTCTATTTTGTTGCTTGTGCTTTAGGTGTCATATTTAAGAAATCATTACCAAGACCCATGCCAAGAAGCTTTTCTCTGTTTTCTTCTAGGAGTTTTATAATTTCAGGTCTTACATTTAAGTCTGTAACCCACTTAGAGTTAATTTTTGTGAGTGTTGTAAGGGATTTAGTTTCATTCTCTTGCATGTGAATACCTAATTTTCCCAGCACAGTTTATTGAAGAGACAGTCATTTTTCCATTGAGTATTCTTGACTCCCTTGTCAAATATCCCATGTGCTCACTACCCGAGTGTTTTTTTTTTTAAATTGATTCACAGTTGATAGAATATTCTGGAACTCATCTGGGCTCAAGGATTTTAGATAAGAATTTGCATTCCTCTCAGATTGTACTTACCAAGTTACCAAACTAAATGTTCTTGCCTGGATGTTATGAGATTGAGTTAAGTGTTTAGAAACGAATCTAGTTTTCTACTGTACAGATTTGATCCAGTCCCTTTTATTCTTCTTTTTCAAATCAATTTATATATTATTTACTTATGAGGAACTTCCTAAACTTTTAGTTTCTTTGAATGCCTGCACTTCTGTTAAAAAAAAAAAAAGTGGACTGAAATAATGGTAGAGTTTAAGAAGAGGAGTTTTGTATTTTTTTGGCCCTTATATACTGTCTTCTATTAGAAAATATGTTATATGCAAGAATGGCTTTATTTATACTTTTCAAACACATCTTTTTATTTAAATATTACATGATAGGCTACAAGTGATCTGGAAAACTATGATAAGACTCGACATGAAGAATTTAAAAAGTATGAAATGATGAAGGAACATGAAAGGAGAGAATATTTAAAAACACTGAGTGAAGAAAAGAGAAAAGAAGAAGAATCTAAATTTGAAGAAATGAAGAAAAAACATGAAAATCATCCCAAAGTTAATCACCCAGTAAGGATTATGACTTTATGAAACCATAATTAGATGAAAATACTTCCTTGAACCAGATAGTAGATTTTTATCATGTTATTGGTACTTAAATATTAATTCTTAATTCTGCAAAGTTCCTCATATTTATATATTTTTTTGCATATATACACATAGATTAGATTTTGTTTTGAGTGTTTTTTAAAAAAGTTTATTGGGGTGACATTGGTCAACATGAACATATAAGTTTCAGGTGTGGGTTTCTGTGTTACAGAATCTGTATATTGTACCATGTGCTCACCACCCGAGTGTTTTTTTTTAATTGATTCACAGGGAAGCAAAGACCAACTAAAAGAGGTCTGGGAAGAGGCTGACGGGTTGGATCCCAATGACTTTGACCCCAAGACATTTTTCAAATTGCACGGTAACATATTTGATACAAATATTAATATTTATATCTGCTGTTTGAAAAATTATGGTTGCTTTACTCTTAATATTTCTGCCAAGGTCTACTATTGAGTTCTTTTGAGAGTAAATGTTTAGAGTATTTCTCTAGTGTAATATAATAGTCTTTATTGCTGATATGCAGTATAAAATATTTTGAGCCAGTAGCTGTGTCTTTTTATCTGCTTTTACTGGTAAATCACTATATGACCTATTACAAGATTCTTTGTAAAATGAAGGTATTTCTGCGACTAAGTATGTTATATCTAACAAGTTTTATGCGATCATATTAAAATTTACTTTCACTCATAGCATATTGCTTTATATTTTGGGGAAAAAAAATTTATATATTTCCCTAAAACCTATGATGAATTATAAATAAATGAATTTTCATCAGTTGGACACATCTGAGGCTTCATAAAAAAGAAGAAGAAACCTTTTTGGTAGCATATTGGTATTTCATATCAGTACTGCTTTTGCAAACCATTTGTAAATAGTTGTATTTAAATTATTTATTTTCTAAGATATTAAAATCAATTTCTTGCATTGGGAACTTTAGATGTCAATAATGATGGCTTCCTTGATGAACAAGAATTAGAAGCCCTATTTACTAAAGAGGTAAATGAGTTCATTAAGTATTTGGTTATTTTGCTCTTTCTTTTTTTCCTTTTATTATCTTTCTTTTATGTTGGTTTTAAATTTTTCTTTTTAGTTGGAGAAAGTATATGACCCCAAAAATGAAGAGGATGATATGGTAGAAATGGAGGAAGAAAGGCTTAGGATGAGGGAACATGTAATGAATGAGGTATGTTTTAAAAGTTTAAGATATGTTACAGTACTTCTATGGATTATTCAAGTTGTTGCAATAAATCTTATCACAAAATGGAAGACAAATACACAGAATAGGTATTTAATTGGACTTTGATTTTTTTTTTTTTTGGATATGACCTTTATTGAGCTTATCCACCGGAGTGGAAATAATGTCTGTACAGAACCAAATGTTTGTTACTATAACTTCTGCATCACAATTAAAATCCAAACAGTTTTTTAAAAACAGTCAACTCAATCAATACCCACTACTTCAGAATCAATAGCTTCTTTGAAGCCACAGTAACACTTAAATATGGTTACGACTCGAATGCAGAAATTTGGTTGGTCGGAAAACTAATTAAACTTCCAACTTGCTCAAATAGCATTACAAAAAGGCAAAATTGTGTTTTTCACAGAGATACAGTCCACTGGAATCACCAACACTGGACAGCTGTTAGAGTATCTAGAGTCCTGAGATAATAAGAAATCCAGGCATCCTTTAGACAGTCATCTGTTGTCCTTTCTTCCCAATCAGAGATTGGTGGATGTGTGGAATAACACCACCACCAGCAATTGTAGCCTTGATGAGAGAATCCAATTCTTCATCTCCACGAATAGCAAGTTGCAAATGACGAGGGGTAATACGCTTTACCTTTAAGTCTTTTGATGCATTGCCTGCCAATTCAAGTACCTCTGCGGTGAGGTACTCCAGAATAGCTGCTCTGTACACAGCAGCGGGGTCGCGCCTACACGTCCATGGCTGGTCGTCCTAGATTTCAGGTGTCGATGAATACGGCCCACCGGAAACTGCTAGCCAGCTCTCTGCGAGCGGAAAATCGCCTTTGTCTTGGCCTTTCCGGAGTCTTTCCCAGCCTTACAGCCAGCCATGTCGATTTCTGCTGAAGCTCAAGCGAGCAGGGCAGAGAAAGGAGGAGCCAGACACCCTGCAAGATCCCAGCACCGACTCCCTCGCACCCCGATTCAAGCTGCTGGACTTTGATGTTTGATCCAGTATATTCAATAGATTCCCTTACTGTGAATAAAATTATTTTGTAACTCATTTAAAATATTTTAAAAGATTAAGATGCCGCTGCATATCAGCTATAAAACATCTTTTTGGAAGTAAAAAAAATAATGTAGTCCAATATTTGGTATTTTAAATGGCTATTTTAGTTGTTGCTAAGAAAATCCAAAAACCCAATACCCAAGTGGTTGATAACAGCACATATTTATTTCTTGTTCACATTACTAAGCTGAAAACTCTAGTAGAGACTTCATAAGCAGGGTAACTAAAGCCCATTGTTTTGCTTCAGTGATGATTTTCACCTGATATTGATGAACTGGGATTTCTGTTGACTGCTGGCATCCCAGGTATCAAATAAATTTCTTTGGTTATTGCTTTTGTAACTGAATTTGCCATAGTTTACAAGAGCCATTGGAAGATTTGGAGGTTGTAACTTTTCGTTTTGATATACTAGGTTGTTTTTTTAAAAAAAAATAATTATTGAGAGCATTTTAACTTAAACTCCTTTACTCTTGGCTAAACAATTCTCTTACTGGAAAGGTTATTTTTCTTGCCTAAATACTTGGTTTCGAGGGATTATACATAGTGTGGTGAGCCTAACCAGTTAGATCAGCAACTTAAACTTGGTGATTTTGGGGGTATCAGGGATATAGATATTTCACTGCATTTCCAAATTTGAATAATATAGAAGAGAAAAATATCTATTTTCTGATTTTGATATAATGTTTAGTGTTCTGTTTTGTTTTTTCCCTCTCAGAGTTTATGGCTGTTAAGCTAGCTCTAACTGCTGTATGTTTATGTAGTAGCATTTATTGGAAGACAGTTTCTAGTGTCTAAGTAATATGAGAAAGAGTTATTTGATTTTACTACATTTTCCTTTAATCAGGTTGATTCTAACAAAGACCGATTGGTGACTCTAGAAGAGTTTTTGAAAGCTACAGAAAAAAAGGAATTCTTGGAGCCTGATAGCTGGGAGGTAATAGACCCTATTTGAAATGGGATGTATGATTCAAGAAATTCCACATCCATCTATTCTACTTTTAACTTTTATTCCCCATTATGTTTGCATGTACAGTCTTACCATTTTGGTTTTTCATATAAAATATCACTTTTATATAATGAACTTGATTTCTTAGAAAGCTTATGGTAATTGATCTCTTGTTTGTAATCACATTGCATATTATAATTAGAAGTCTTAAAAAGTATAAAATAATGATCATTCTTGAAAATGAGAAATATAATACATTTAAAGGATAAATTAGAAGTTACCTATAATTCTACCACCTAGAGGTAGACACTAAACTTATGTATTGTGTTATGCCAATTTAGAAATAGTTTATATATTTAGTATATGCATCTATATCATAGAGTGTATAGTGTATGATCCCATTTTTAATTTATATATGCACATAAATTCATAGCTCTCTCTCTATATATACTTAAAATGGCTTTACACTGTATAGATGACTGTGAGTTTGTGAAATTTTTTTTTTTAAATTATCAATATTTCTTGAACATGTTCCAACGTTATTGCTCAAACACATGATTTAAGAAATGACTCCCCGCCCTAACCGGTTTGGCTCAGTGGATAGAGCGTCGCCCTGCGGACTGAAGGGTCCCAGGTTCGATTCTGGTCAAGGGCATGTACCTTGGTTGCAGGCACATACCCAGTGGGGGGTGTGCAGGAGGCAGCTGATCGATGTTTCTCTCTCATCGATGTTTCTAACTCTCTATCCCTCTCCCCTCCTCTCTGTAAAAAATCAATAAAATATATTAAAAAAAAAAAAAAAGAAATGACTCCTTAGCATGCAGTTGGGTGGTTGTAGCATCATTTATATAACCATTCCTCCAGATTTAGACATTCTGGATGCATCCCGCTTTTTTTTTTTTTTTACTATAATAACACTATTATAACTATCCATTTGTTCATACATTTGTGGCATCTGTGATTTCCCTGAGATTAATTCCTAGGAATAGAACTATTCTCAAAGTTCATGAACATTTTTTTTTAGTTTCTAAATATACCTGTCAAACTGCTCCAGAAAGGTATTCCAATTTATATCAAAGTTGCTTGTGTATAAATGAGTGCATACTTTATAAGAGTGGTTGAAAAACACCAACCAAACTAGGTTGAAGAAAGAACATTATCTTTTTCTTTACAGAACAGAAAAGAAAAAGATTACCATTTTCATTAGATTTTTAATTGTCCAGAAAATAATTTGAGATAGGGTGACCAACTGTGCTGGCTTACCTGGGACTGAAGAGTTTCCCAGGATGTGTTCTCAGGATATGGAACTTTTTAGTGCTAAAACCAGGACAATCCCAGGCAAGTTGGGACAGTTGGTCATCTTAGTTTGAGATTAAAGAAATCAGTTGCTTTTTTTTTTTTTTAAGTTTTATTGATTTTTACAGAGGAAGAGAGAGGGATAGAGAGAAAGAAACATCAATGATGAGAAACACCCATTCGCTGCCTCCTGCACACCTTCTACTGGGGATTGGGCCCTCAACTAGGGCATGTGCCCTAACCAGGAATTGAACCAGGGACCTCCTGAGCCACATGGGTGGGGTCGGCAGCTTTTTGTTATAAGTTTTGTCTAACCTTTGAAATATTTCTGGACTTTGGTGAAGAAAAATTCTAAAATTATTTGAACATGCAATCCCTTTAATGTTTCTGGTGAACCAGATCAACAGATCATTATGTACTTTTTTCATTTTGACAGTTTCAGATTTACAAAAAAGTACAAGAATAGACTAAGAATTCCTGAATTCCCTTTGCCAAGATTTCCTATTTTACATTTACTTCTCTCCCTCACTTTTCCCCTCTATTTTAAATCTGTGTATATGTGTTTCTATATATAACATATAATTGTTTTTGAGAGTAAGTTGCACATGATACTGCTTTAACCTAAATACTCAAATGTGTATTTCTTGCAAAAAAGGATTTATATTATATAATCAAGTAAAATTATCAACCTTCCCCCCCCGCCCCCACCCACAATACTCTAATCCGGGGAGGTGGGGGGGGGGGAACATCTGGATACAGCCCAGAGATCATTTGGTCTGGCCCTGCCAAGGCATTAGTGGCAAGTTATTAAATGTTTGATCAAAGATAGCAGGCTAATTTTTTTAAAAATAATTTTTATTTCTTGAAGTATTACAAAGAGTATTACATATGTCTCCTTCCCCCCCCCCTTGACATTCCCCCGGCCCCTACCCCCCAGTGTCCTGAGTCCACTGGTTATTCCTACATGCATGCATATAAGTCCTTTGGTTGATCTCCTAACCCCCACCCCCCCGCCCCAAACCCTCCCCAGGCTTCCCACTGCAGTTTGACAGTCTGCTCAATGTTAGCAGGCTAATTTTTAAGTTAATAATTTGTATGGCCTGAGAATGATGTTATAAATATCCAAATGGCCCTTGGCAGCAAAAAGGTTCCCTTCCCCTCTAATCAGGTAGACTTGATTGAGATTTTTGTCAATTTTCCCAATATCGTCTTTTATAGCAAAAGAATACCCAAGAAAATGCAGTGAATGTAGTTGTAATGTCTTTCTAGTCTCTGTTAATCTGAAATAGTTCCTGAGTCATTGTGTCTCATGGCATTGATATTTTAACAGAGTATAGACCAGCTATTCTGTAGACCATCCATCAGTTTGAGGGGCTGTTTCCTTATGATTCCTAATTTTGATAGGAATATAGCTGAAGTGATGCTAACTAAGGACATCGTATCAGGAGGCATTATTAGTCCTGATTATTCCCTTAACTGGCAATATTAACTTAGATTATTTGGTGAAGGTGAAGTCTACCAGGTGTTTTCACTGTAAAGTTACAACTTTACCTTTTGTAATCGAAAAAATTTCTTGTAAAACCCATGATATTGCCAGAATCTTAAGTCAGCTTTAAAAAAACACATCATTTTACATCATAAGTCTTTCCAAATACAATTTGTAAGCATTATTTTCATATCTATGGGTGCTTAATTATTTTCTCAGGATTAGACATTCAGGTTATCTTCAGTCTTTTATTGTTATTTTAAAAAGTGCTGCTTTCAACACATTTTCATATACAGCTTTTAATGTGTTTAGGGCTATTTTATAAAGTAGATTGTCAGTGTAGAATTATCAGGGTCAAGAGAATATTTTTAAAACTATTGGTATACTTTGTAAAGAATATTGAAAGAATTGCACGAATTTACATTTCCACTATTAAAAAATGAGTGATCTGTTTTTTGTTTTTAAAAATGTATTTTTAAGGATATACTTTGAGACTTATCTACAAGTTGCATCCTCTGATGATTCTGGTCAGCATCAGTTGTTACTTGACTGTTGACAAATGGTGATTTTCTCATCATCATTCCTTCTACATTTATTTGTTGCCTTTGTATTGTAAGGAAAAGCTACCCTTTCCTTTTCTCTACCTGTTCACTGTAGACTCATGGATTCCTGTTTTATTCAGTAAGCCTGCACCCTTCCTATGACAGTAGGTCCTCAGGTTACGTCTGAGATCCATCCCTACGGCGTGATGTAATGTGACTTTCACCATAAGTCAGAACCCACCTACATAAGCACCTACGTCACTACATGGAGTACATACACAGCAGTAATGAAGTGAAACAGTAAAAAAAAATTAAAAGAAAGATAACAATTCCTGACCTTTACTTGTGGTAAATAAATAATAAGAAACATAAAGCACATATGTACATACGTCGAAATGACGGAACTTTTTTTTTCCTTTATAAATGAATGGGAGATTGTGATGTAACCATGAAACAACATAGGTCGAGTCCGACATAAGCCGAGGACTGCCTGTATTTATTTCCATTCTTGGCTAGTGGGAGTTTCCTTAAACAGGTTTTTGTGGCCTTCTGGTATGTTCCCATCATTCTTTGAGGATTTCCTTACTTTTTAGCATAAGATGTTCAAGGTTCATCTTGTTCCTTCTCTGTCCCACCTCTTTAATCAGCCATTTTTTCTGAGGAGTACTGTTGTTTGTTTGTTTTTCAGTGGAGATTGATAGTATAGACCAGGAGCTGGGCACTGAATTGACTACTTGCTACGGAATTGTCCTTGCTGTAAAGCAAGTCCTAGTCGGATAATAGAGCTGGGAATTTTTTTAAAATTTTAAATAGATTTTTATTTATTTATATTATGAATATATACATATATACATATGAATATATACTACTTGGACTCACATACATAGACACACTTGCACACACATACATAGACACACTACACACATTTATATTCATTTTGTATATTTCACTGTCAATATATATTACAACTCATGAGTTCACACTATCCTCTTAAACTTTAATACCACACCTTCAATTCCAATACATTTTATCTTTTTCTTTTTCTGTATTTCATACAAAACCTGGCTCCCATTTTCCACAACAAGTTTCCACTTACTTGCTCAGTCCTAGCATATTGAACGCATTTAGAATTGCCGATCCATGCCTCTGCACAACAAGACTAAGACTTGTTTAGAGTTTTGGTTGTTTTTAACTTGAGTGCATGTAGTCCAGAGACTGTGTTCAGAAGTTTCTGGGGTTAGTTCTTTTTTCCCTTCTCCCTTCTGTCAGTTATTTTATTCAGTTAAAATAAAAGTATTTATTTGTTTCTGTTTCTATTCAATTTGGGGGATTTTTTCTGTCCTTGTGGATTTTAGTTATCTGTGGTGTTTCTTTGAGTGTGTAACACATTGAATGTTTCAGAAAAGCAATTCTGTACCAAAATGTGTATTCAGAGGAGTATGATTTCCTTGCCTTCACTCCCTTTGTCCTTTCCACTCAGTTTCCCCCTCATTCTGTAGGTAAACAATCTCATTAGTCTTTAGGTGTTCCTTTTATTCAGAGTACATAAATATACTTTTTCTTAATTCCTTTTCTTTTTTTACCCCAAAGGTATAATACTATATTCTATTGAACTTTGCTAATAATACAATTTGACAGCTGAATCAGACCTTATGGTTGCATTTCTAAGATTATTCTTTCTTTGTTTTTTTTCTTTAGACATTAGATCAGCAACAGTTTTTCACAGAGGAAGAGCTGAAAGAATATGAAAATCTTATCTCCTTACAAGAAAATGAACTTAAGAAAAAAGCAGGTGAACTTCAGAAACAAAAAGAAGAACTACAGCGTCAGCATGACCAACTCGAGGCTCAGAAGCTGGAATATCATCAGGTGGTATTTTGTGAAAGGATTGCGGCATTAAAGAGGATTTTAGGCACTTTGCTAAAAGCCTGTGTTATAGTAATGTTTCAATGCACCATTAGCTATAGTATTTTAAATGTTGGTGTTTTCAAAACTGCTTTGTTGAATATTAATCTAAATTTTAGAATTTGACTATTTCATTTTGGAAAATAATTTTCAATTGTGATTAGTTAAAGGTCACATATGTCAGAGAAAATCAAGTACTACTTCATTTTAAAACATTATTTTTCATTCCCCAGGTCATACAGCAGATGGAACAAAAAAAATTACAACAAGAACTTTCTCCATCAGTGCCTGGTGGAGAATCGAAGTTCAAGCCACGTATGTAATTTTGTTTGCTTATTTGTTTGATTAAGGAAATAAATTGAAATCCACATTTATTGCAAGTATGATTTCAAATTATTAATATCTTTGCTATTTTCTATATATTTGTGAAACTACAGCACCTTACATTTCAGAAGGCCTGTAAAGTTTTTATGTATCTGTATATTTCAAAAGCTATATAATTTGATAGGCATATTTATGGTGAAGTGATTTATTTGAACATTATTTATCTTTTTTTCTAATCATTTATTGATATTATCAGAGAACATGTTTTTAATTTTAATTTTTTTCTTAACTGTAGCCTCCATTCTGACAGTTTTGGTTTTACAACATTTGGTAGGGTAAGCATTGCCCAGCCAGAGTATCCATGCCCATAAGACATTCAGGTAAAAGAGACACAAGTTATTTGCATAAGCCTGTCTAAACATTCCAAGGTCCATCATCCCATCAATCCTTCCCTTGGGAGAACAACCTTCATGCTCTCTCAATCTAATTGTAGTCCACACCAGTGCTTTGTCAGTGGATTTTGGTACCACAGTTTGTGAAGCTCCCAGGTCAATGAGTCCAGAAATTTCTCTTCTCTACCTCCTGACTGTTTTACCCACTCTGGTGTAAAGACTTTGAATCCCCAATGAGTGGTTGAGTCAAGGGACCCTGGTCCTTCTGTCAGCTTTCATCTTTTTAAAAAAATATTTTTATTATTGATTGTATTACAGATATCTCCCATTTCCCGCCTTCCCCTCTTCCTCCCAGCCCCTGCCCACCCCTTGAGGTCTTCACTGCCCTATTGCTGTGTCCATGGGCTATGTCAGCCTTCATCTTGATTATTCTCCTTAACCATTGCTCGAAGCAAATGCAAGTCAGATTTCTCATTATAATCTTTGAATCTTGGCTTTCAAAATGTTCCAAACCAGGGTAAATAAAGCAGACTTGTTTGGGGCTCTTTAATCCTGGGGAGTCTGTAGGGAGTTCTTTGGCATGCACCACCTTGGGTAGCACTGTATTAAACGTTTGTTCAATCCCCATCATTGTCCATTTTATTTACATCTAACCATCGAGGGTGTGGGTGTTCATATGCTGGGCTAGGACCACTGTGGTTGGTGTCCCAGCATTGGCTCCTTCTTTGGGGGGGCTGAGTAGCATGGATTCTGGGCAGCTCCATCAGATGACATTAGCATACGCAACGACTGAGGGAATCCTTAGTGGCAAAGCTTTAGGTGTTGGGTTTCACTCAGTGGATACAGCTTTGGCCTGTGTACTGAAAGGTCCCGGGGTCGATGCTGGTCAAGGGCACATGCCGGGACGGGCTCATCTCTGGTGCGGCCTGTGCAGGAGGCAGCCGGTCAATGATTCTCTCTCATCGTTGATGTTTTTATCTCTCTCTCCCTTTCCCTTCCTCTCTGGAATAAAATAATAATAATAATAATAAAAAAAAATATATATATATATATATATATATATATATATATACACATATATATATTTTTTTAAATAGCTTTAGGTGTCCCTGACAGCCACGAGGGCTGCTTGGGGCCTTGGTGATGAAAGCTGATGGGGTGTTCTCCTTTTCCTCCAAAGGGGAGAGATCACAGCTGAGGGCATCCCATCCCTTTTGGCAGCAAGCTCTGCGGGACTGGGGGATAGGTTGACAAAGGCCAGCCTATGCTGCTGTGCTTTTCTATGTGGCCATCTTTGATTTCTGTGCTCCACTGGGCTGCTGTAGTTCCTACATGTACTTCAGAGCTCTCTCAGAGCTATTTTCATCAGTAAGCAGCAGTTAATCGTTGTTTTTCTGCAGACAGAAAAACAGAGGCACAAGCCCCTCCATTGTTCTCGATACCAGAAGTCTTAGGTGGTTCCTGGTCACAGGCATTCACAATGCTGGTACTCATGGTGTCTGTGAAGTAATGGGTATGTTGGTTTCTGCCTCCTTCGCTGAAATTATTTGGTTCTGTGCTTCTAGTGCCAGACTTGGCAAGTTTGTAGCTACTGTTTCTTCCTTTTGCTGTGCTGGTTCTTTTGTTGTTGTTTTTTTAAATATTGATTTTAGAGAGGAAGGGAGAGGGAGAGAGATAGAAACATCAATGATGGGAGAGAATCATTGATAGGCTGCCTCCTGCTCACCCTGCACTGGAGATGAGCCTGCAATCTGGGCATGTGCCTTTGACTAGAGTTGAACCTGGGACCCTTAAGTCTGCAGTCCAATTCTCTATTTGCTGAGCCAAACCAGCTAGGGTTGCTGTGCCGGTTCTTGAACCAAGTTTTTATTATTGAACCAACAAGTAGAGTAGCTGAAGTAAGTTCTGCTATGGTAACCCCATGTGGGTACGTGGTCTTTTGAAATGTATCGTTCAGTTTTCTAAGCTGTGCTGAACTAAAGGTTGTGCAGTATTGATGCGCAGACCTTGGCTTGTCTGATCCATCTTAGATGGAAGATTTCTGTAGCAGGCCCTTATTCTTTATACAAACACACACCCCAAAGCCAGCATGCTACCTCATTGCCCAAAATGTGAAGACAAGAGGTCAAACACCCAGATTTCACTTAGGTTTTCAGCATCGGCCATAGTATCTTTTCGAAGTATAATAAATGATCCACTGTGTGTGTTTCTGAGATCCTGAATTTCATCTGTGTCAAACATATGCTTTTAATTGTAATCTATGATTATATAAGTGTATTTAAAAAATAAATATTACATATGAAAGGAGATTCCTTTAAAATGAGAGTATATATTTTTTTCTTTGAACAGTCATTTGAAGTCTGAAGTCCACCAGAACTTGGAAGAAAACTGTAAAATCAACATCTGTGTCATCTTTTTACTTCCCTTCCTTTTTCTCTACTCAAATATTTTAAGACATAAATGGAATAAAGGAAGATACTTTTTAAATAAGAATACTTTTTTTTTTTTTGACACCGATATTTAAAGATGGAAGTCCACCAGAACTAGGAATAAAACCTCAATATCTGCTCTCACTTTCATACCTCCCCTCTTTTTTCTTTGTTCTCCTTTACTGATTTAATCAAGTAGCCTTAGGCCATAATTTAATGAAAATCTCAGTAACCATATAAGTGAGAAAGCTCTGTTTGTTACTTTTAAAATAAATTGCCCTCACTCATGAAGATAGATATTCTTCTATGGGTGCTTATCATCCCCTCACAATAAAAGTCTCTTTGATTCCCACAGTTCTCTTGAGAAGACCATATATTCCCAGTTTCTTGGTAACTTCTTCCTACTTTCGGCACCCTTAACTGCTAGAAATTCTTCTGCTGAATAGTTTTTGCTACTACTTGAGGTCGTTTTTCATTCTTACTTTTGCTTTATACTCTATCATTTAAGATCAGATTTGCTACATATAACCAAAAACCAAAGATAACAGTGGTTTAAACTAAATAGGAGTTTTTCCTTTTTGTATAAATCTGTAGGCAGGTGGTGTCCAGGTTCCTATCTTTCTGCTCTCCTATCCTCAGTACATTGCTTTTATCCTCAAGCTGCTTCATCCTTACTTTCCAAGATTGCTTCTGGAGGCAGGTGGGAAGGGCAAGAAAAGATCTTTTGCCACTTGAGGAACTTTCTCAGCTTCCTTGAAGCAGTTTTCCTGGAGAACCACACAACATTTGAACTTACATTGAGTTACCTGGCCATCTAGCTGCTAGGGAAACTGAGACATCTTTGTGGCAATGTGACCAGCTAAATGTTAGGATACTTGTCCTAGCTGGTTTGGCTCAGTGGATAGAGTGTCAGCCTGTAGACCAAAGGGTCCCGGGTTCAATTCCAGTCAAGGGCAGGTATCTCGGTTGCAGGATCCTCCATGGCCTGGGCCCTGGTCAGGGCTCCTGCAAGAGGCAACCAATTGATGTTTTTCTCTCACATCGATGTTTCCATCTGTCTTTCCCTCTCTCCCTAAACATCAATGAAAAACTATCCTTGGGTGATGATTACGAAAACAAATAAATGTTTAATTAGGAAGGTGGGAAGAGGTAGCGTTTCTTCGGCAACTTTTAAAAAATATATATTTTTTTATTGATTTCAGAGAAGAAGGGAGAGGTAGAGAGATAGAAACATCAATGATGAAAGTGAATCATTGATTGCCTCTTGCACGTCCCCCACTGGGATTGAGCCCGCAACCCGGGCATGTGCCCCACAGGGAATGGAACATTGACCTCCTGGTTCATAGGTCGATGCTCAACTACTGAGCCATGCTGGCCGGGCTGGTAAGCAACTTTTAATTTTAATCCAGACAGCCTTGCTGGCTACCTAAATATCTATGTACACTCTTCTAAACATAGAAAACACCCACCTCCAAAGGAAACCATCAGAATCCCACCCAGTATTGCATATTGCTCAAAGACCATGATATCTCTGGCCACCCAGAAACTAAAAGTCAAGGTGTCTGCCCCATGGGCAACATATGCATAAAGGTGGGATAGGTACAGGATAACTACATAAAATCAATCTTTTTGAAACAGGGGTAAATGGGAAACTAGCAGTTGCTGATCCATAGCAAGGTCTCTCTGCTCTGTCCATAAATATATTCCTTGGTTTTCCCATCAGGCAACTGCTGATTCACATTTCTGGGAGTAACTCCCTTGTCTAATGTCCCCAGGGGCTCTTGGTGTTGCCTTCTGGGAGGTCTTTAGTGTCCGTTACTCTTTAGGTACACATCAGGAAGGATACTCTTCTTGGAGGCTGGATAGTCTTAGCACTTCCGGGGCTCGGGGATTGTTTAGATAGTTACAGGCTATAGCAGGCCAGGTTTAGGGTTTTTATTTATTTATTTAGGGTTTGTTTGACAAAACAATTTCCTAAGAACTTAGTAATTTTCTGGTCTGTTTTCTTCAATAATTACCATGAGTAACATGAAAGATCTTGTCAAGGCATAGTTTTTATCAGAGAACCCATCTTCCCTTGCTGGTTTCTGTGTTCTTTCTTTCCCTTGGGGTCTTAAATGAATGGCTTGGATGGGTTCACAATGGCATTTATCTGACCTTTTTCCTCAGGATGGCTCCCATTACTTGGCAGAAAATTCTTAAGGGAAGATTCTTGAAAAAGGTTAAGGACATTTCAACAGCTTTCTCAGAATCTTTACTTAAGGTGTGTGGTAGTAGTTGACTTTTTCCATTCTTCAAGGCTCCAGATTTGGGACTTTTGTCAATATTTTTGGTTTTTTAGACAGAACATATCCCTAAGCAAAGCTATGTATACCTTTCCATCTCTGTAGACTTGTAAACCTTATCCCGAGTGGTATTTGTCTTGTAGGATTTTGCTGAAAGAGGCAGAGGCAGCCCCACATGCTAGCACTCTGAAGTTCTACCACACTTTCTTTGATACCCTTACTTCAGTTGGCATGAGGTCTCATGGCCTAAAGCCCTACCTCCTCAACTCAGCCCACTTCATATTTAAGATCCTTTTACTTGCTGCACCTTACTTCTAGCTATCAGATTCTGTATAGGTCAAGATTCATGGCTGTAGGTCATAGAATCTTCTTTAGCTATTAAACCGAATGGGATTGATTATGGGAAATAGATAGCTCACAGAATTTTTGAGAGGGCTGAAGAAATAGAACCTAGGCTGAGCTTCTAGGAACTACATCACAAGAGAGGGCTGCCAAAGAAGCTGCTGCTTTTGGAATAATCAAGAAGCTGCCTGCCACTTTGGGAAGCTGCCTGCTGGATTAGAAAGACATGAACAGTTGCCAGCTCCAGAATCACACCACTGCTGCCACACTTTGTGTTGGCCAACTCGGCTCAAGTGAGTGCATCTGATTGCTGGACCAATCATACCTGGAATCCTAGCTGCAAGGGAGGCTGGGAAATAATAGTGTTTAACTTTCCTACCTCTGTAGTACAGGAATGCATGTTTCAACTTTTCAAGTGAACTAATCAACTGTAACACCTCATAATTTTACATTGTTTCTCTTAACATTAATATGTTTTAAACTGTTTGTTTTCTTTTCACAAGTTTTTAACTAATTATTGGATATTCCTCCAAATATACTTCAGATTTTTTTCTTATATCATGGGTCCCCAAATTAAGTATAACAATCTAGACATGTTTTGCTTATATTCATCTTTAAAAACCCCCACAAAAATCACTCAACAGAGTAATGCTACGGTTTGTCAGGGATGGAGAAGAATTCCTCTCTTTGTGGTTAAAATTGTAGGAAACATTTAAAAAAGGTCTGGAATATCTTTTTATTTATTACTGTATCTATGCCCAGAAATTGTGATAAGTCAGAGGTTTTCCCAGGATAAACTCTTTTAGATGGTGGACTGTGGTTAAATCAAAAGGTAATTGGAGGAGAACTTGGAGAAATTTCTTAAAATGCTTTTATGAGCATGAATAAATAATGGATGCATATTAATGTAGACATACCTCTTAGTTTCCAGCAAATTATCTATACTAATAAAAGGGTAATATGCTAATTAGACTGGACATATTCCGGACATCCTTCTGGAGAAAGCCATTTTGGCGGGGCCAAGGTAGAAGCAGTTAGCTGCAATCAGGCTGGCAGGGGCAGGGATGTTAGGGGCGATCAGGCAGGCAGGCAGGTGAGTGGTTAGGAGCCAGCATTCCTAGATGGATAAATCAGAATTGCGAGAGCAGGGGAAAAGTCATTTGAAGGGCCTGGTAATAAGTTCCATGAAGCTGGTGGCTGTGAAACTTTAAGACAGCTGACAATGGTGCTATAACTTTCTACATCCCTCAAAGCTTTCTCCAGCGATTAGGGAGGTGCATTAGAAATGCAACAATGGAAAAGTTATTACAGAAGTAGGAAAATGGGAGAGTACAGAGAGAAGAAAGAACTTACTTAAAACTCAGATCATCCAGGCAAAAGTAAGGAAGAAACAATAAATGATGCTACTTCAGAGATTGCTCAATTTATGTCCTGGTCTATTAAAAAAAAAAAAAAAAAAAAAATCCATTTGTTAACAACTGTGAGATAGAAAATATCTGCTGGGGTACACAATGTATTTTAAAACTATTATTATTTAAGGACAATATAAAAAAGCTAATGACTTGGACCAAGGCCACCCATCTGTGGAAGGAAATGAGTCAAGAGTCGGATTCTCCTTATGAGTCACAGATTTGTTTCCTGGCCAGAAGCACTCTCCACAGTGCTCAGAAAGCACTCTCCACAGTGCTCAGAAAGCACTCTAGGAGGGACTGTCTGTTTGTCCAATTAGTTCTAAAAAAGCTAACATTTCTGCGAATTTAGTTTTGTTTAGGCCAAGATCAACCTTGAATCTCAATGAACTATACTATAAATATTGAAGAGAGTGAAAAGACATACACAGAGTCTGTTGTATTACTAATTAAGATGTAGATGTGGCTTTATTAAAACAGCATTAATTTCCAAAACATTCCTATGAAAGATAAAATAGAGGCTAAGAATTTTGCTTTCAGGACAACCTTTAGGAGCCAGTCAATGCCCAGAGGGACTGTTTCATTCTTTTGTGATGGCTCTGGTGACTTCTGGATAGTTCTATCTGCCCCTCTCTACCCAGTTTCAGGGCCTCAGAATGGAAGCTGAAATACTGGAGGCTGAAATATTGTAGCCAAGGTGGACAAAGGAGCCCCTTTTCCGTGAAGGTGTTTCTTTCTCTGAAGTTGTTAGTCCAGCATCCATCAGCATACATGATGGTCATAATAAGGCCTTGTGACTTTCAAAGTATCTGTCTATGTACCAATTAACAGGGACTCTAATTGAAATATCACATTTTTTGAATGAACACATGTATGTTTATATGTAAGCTTGTGCGTAAAATAGGTCTGGAGGGAAAACCATTAGTTCTTTCATGTCTTCTGAAAAACATGTCTTCTGGAATTTAGACATGAAAAACACTCTTTTTAAATTATTGGTTTTTCTTTTCATAAAGGAAACCAGTGCTTCT